ATTATTATTATTATTATTATTATTATTATTATTATTATTATTATTATTATTATTATTATTATTGTTATTATTATTATTACTATTGTTGTTGTTGTTATTGTTGTTTTATAATTTTTTTTTATAATTTGTACAATTAACCTCCTTGTGGTTCGACCCCGGTCTTGCCGGGTTATTTATTACTTCGACACTCCTGCACTTGGGAGAAGACATCAATTTTTTAGTCGTGTCATACGTCTTTCTTTTCTTTTCTTTTTTCTCCTCCTTATTACTTGTGCTGTTTTATTCTTTTGAAATTATTTGTAACCAAGGTAAAGACAATATCACCTCATTGGGATCTTGTAGATGCCCCTTTCGAGTATTGTGCTGGTTGTAAAACACCAAAAATTGTGAGGAACAGCCAGTTCTTGAGCTGACAATCCATGTAGGAAAGTCTTATGACAAAGTTCCATAATTGTTTAGCATCATGAAGCCCATTATTCCATGTTATATTCAATTCCATTACAGAAACAAGGTTAGTACTTCCGATAAACCTTGTAAAGTATTGGTCGTGTATTGTTGCTAAAGTTGGATAAGTACAGAAACCTGACATCTTTTTCAGAACCGACAAAGAAGACAAGTCAATTGATTGCCATGCGGTTGTGTTGTGAAATACAGCCACACCGATAGCATTTTTAATTCAATGCCCTTGTCCTAATTTTCTTCCCAGCCTTCGAAAGGTCCTTTGACTTTGTACTTGTATGGTGGCAAAACAGTAAGCTTGTACTCGATTATCCCTTGTTTATAAAGGAGAATATAGCTAGTTTTTGTGTGCAAGTGTCTGTTGCTGGGAAGGAAAGGAAACTGAAAAACTTTTCTAACTTGTTGGACATCAGTTCTCCTTTTCGTTCTCTTTTCCCCTCGTATGGTTTGCATGATTTTTATTTCCCTTTCTGTACTTGAATATATCGAACTTGTGTCACAAACCTGCTATAGCCATACAGGTCTCTTTCGGTCTTAAGTGTTAAAATTAATTTCAAATTCTAAATGTAAAATGTCATTTTAGTTATTCTATATGCGCGCACGCACACACACATATAGAACATTAATTATTTGATTATCCAAGCATCTATATACTAATACTTAACAAATATGATTCATGAAAGTGTTGCAAGTCCATGAAACGAGAGTTGCATGATATAAAAATGGTATATATATTCTTTCTTTTTTAATGAAGTCCCGAGTTAAGGTTCAGCCCTAACAAAATGATATCAAAGCTAGTTTCATCTAGTAGTAAGTGTTTGTGAGATTAATTAGAGCATGCGTGTTGAAGAAAATGAGAAATCCCAATAATAAATGGATTGTGGACACGACAGTGTGGATGTATTCTTTCTTTTTTTATGAAGTCCCGAGTTAAGGTTCAGCCCTAACAAAATGATACCAAAGCTAGTTTCATCTAGTAGCAAGTGTTTGTGAGATTAGTTAGAGCATGCGTGTTGAAGAAAATGAGAAATCCCTATAATAAATGGATTGTGGACACGACAGAGTGGATGAAAAATTGACATTTAAAAAATAAAATAAAGTTGCAAGTTGGTGAACTCTAACAAAAGAATTAGAACTTTGCATCAAGAAAGATAGAAGAAGTCCAAAAAAAGCTTGATACAAGCTGACGAGTCATTGCACATATGATGATGTTGTGTTGTGCACGAGAGAGCTATTTCTAAGGAAAAAGATAGAAAATGATCCAATGAGTCATGATAAGAAGAAGATAATAAAGACAAAGGCCACTTGAAGACCGTGATCTTAAAAGAAAGATGCTTAGCTCGAGAAATATAGCTGCAAGAAGAATCATTAAAAATAGCCATGTTCAAGCAAATACAATTACTAAAGAAATGGATATTAACAAGATGGCAATGAGATAACATTAGGCAGCCATGATGAAAAGAGTGGCTAAGATAAAAATGTAAGAAAGATCTTTTCCAGATAAGGATGGAAAATTCAAACAATAGTGGCAGGAATTTGGCTGTTAAAAATAGAAGAAGAAGAAGAAGAAGACATTGAAGTTCTTATTATTATCAACAAGTGATTAGAAAGGTGTTTCAGCCACGACAAAATAATCCTCCGACATATTGCATAATGATCCTCTAATATATTTTAAAAATTCAAGGATTGAAAGATTTTTAAAAATTAAGGGGAAGTATTATAATTAATTTTGAAATTTAAATTCATAGTGTTATTTTAGTTGTTTTTGGTAAATGTATTAATGACATTAATTATATGAATATCCAAGCACCTACAATTCTCCACATACTAATATAATCTAAATACGTGTTATGAAAAAGTATTGTAATATTAAGTTTAATTCCATGAAACTTCTTCTCTTATAAGAGTTAATGATATAAGAATGAGATATTCTTTCTTGTCTAATATAAACATTGGAGGAATTACTATACTCCCTTTGAACTTGTTGCTAAATCTGATCCCCTATGGCATTTCTTGTAAAGTTTCATCCCTTGAAAAACGTGTTTATGAATCCCTCTTGTCTTTGCATTTCTACATTTGTAGACTGGCAAAATATGTGATATACTTGGACATTTGCTGCCAATTACATGTTGAGACTATCATTACATGTTGAGACTATCGACGGCTAGTCCTGTTAATTATTAGCATGTCAACAGGCAACCACTGCGCTATCATGAAGTGTTCAATTAAATTCTATATTTCTGTTGTCTGATTCTGATCGAGGGCAGTGATATTGCAGAAATGCATTTATAAGTTGTGAAGAATAAAATTCTGATATATTGAGGATACACAGAACCTGGATAACTAATTGATTATTGTTCAGCAAGAATTGACATGTACATGTATGATAGAATTATGTTAGTGGCCTTTTCATTTAGTGTAATGATAAAGGGGTTTAGGACATAACAGGGTTGGTCTGTAACTCTCTGGTTCAATTTCTGTGTAATTTAGTACAAGTCTCAATACAACCTAGTTGGGGGTGTCGGGAGCTTGAATATTTAATCTCCAGTCTGTTCTATATAGGATACTTTCTACAAGCTGTTATAATAATCATTATGTAATCTTATTTCAAAGGAGATGCTGATCATTGAGTCTTTTTATCTACATTTTAACGAGACAAATTTTGCAGATCCATACCGTGCTGGTTTGCACATGAAGTTGAATAAATTCCTGCTAAAGCTTGTGGCCCCACGCATTGTAAACCTGTCACATGTGCCCGTGACCTAGATTACCTTTGCCATGTTGTGGTATGCAGTCTTCCTGATGGCTGTGCTGTTGTTGAAATCAACAGCTGTTCTCTAAATTCTGAAACTTCTGCGCAGAAAGTGCAAGATATAGATGGATATTACAAACTTAAAAGTCTGCAGCGGTGTAGAATGTGTTCGACTTGCAGAGTTTTGCTGATCCTTGCTCATCACCACTATATTTACTGCCAAGATGCAAGACTATTGCTCTCAGCAGAGGCTCCAGTCTGAAGTTTGACTTTCAGGATTCGGTAAAGCTAGCTGTATCCGTAATCTTTGCTACATGGACTGTTCAAGTGAGCTATGGAGGTCTTGTATCTTATGTCATGGATGGTGTCACCTGGCCTAGAGGAAGGAAATATGTTGGACGATGACGGTTGAACCATTGAAGGACTGTTTGGTATCATTTCCGTTTCGGTTTTCACAGATAGGATTACATTACATTTTCCATCTGCATTTCTTCTTCCAAGGTAACATTTGAGATGTTAGAACAGAAGGCATTTATTTATACGAAGACAAAGCAAACAACCTGCTTGAAACATTGAGGATCGCCTCACATACAATTCTCTTTCGACAATATATTTACAAGACGTAACATATATGGTAGAATTACAAATTACAAAGGAAAATACATCTGCCAAGACTGTTAAATAGCTATCATTTTCCTCGTACTGGAGCGCAGGCATTCCCAACAAACTAATCATACTGTCTTCTCTCTTCTTGTATGGATTGGAAAATTCGGGCAGCTGATTCAGTTGCTGATCTAGGGTTGTGAGGTACAACCTTAATCACACGTGCCTGCTGCTCATTTATTTGTGCATTTGGATAGGATGCTTGAAGTGTTGGTTCCATCGGAAAAAGAGGAAGTGCATTTGATTTGGACATCTTAGGGAGATTACCTGCAGAACTTCCCTGGATCTCACTTTCTTTTGATCCTTGAAAATTCTCAACACAACAGGAGATCACTCTGCTCATCTGGTTTGACATGTTACATGAACTCTGAAGAGGGATGTTGAAATTAGTGTCTCCAACTGCTAACTGATTGTCCTTTGACTGTGGTCCATTGTGAGGGCTAATCTGCTCTACTGCAGAGTCGCATATGGATGGGTTCATGACTGGCATGCCGAATGGTTGAAAGAAAGTCTGCCCAAAATGAGGGTTTCCAGGAAGGATACCAATTTCTTCATGGTTAGAAGCTGAAACGCTGTATGCTGCATTCAAAAAGTCTCCGCCACCTGGAGCAAGGCTGATTGGACCACAGCTGCCATAAACTGGTGCCATGAATCTAGTAACTGGAGGACATGGTCCTGCATAGGGCTTGTAAACAAGTCCCTCAGAAGGTGACATGACAGGCACTAGCCACTGATTTCCTGGTGGTGGATAAGACCATGGAGATGGTTTGGCGATGGTAGCCACAGGAGCTGGTGGTGCGCTTCCTGAATAATTTGATCGCTGGCTAATATGTTCTTTACTAGTTTCATCATTAGTGGAAGGAAGGGGAAGCTTCCCAACTACATTCTCTCCTGCAAAGTCAGCGCTCGTATGCTGCTTTTGTGAATGATCATTTGGTTTAACAATCAAGGCACACTTAGACTGCTTTTGTGAATGATCATTTGGTTTAATAATCATGGCACACTTAGACGGTACCTTGGTGATCTGGGATACCTTCAAGGAAGCTCTTCCCACATAAAAGTTATCTTCAAGCAATAGATGCGGAGATCCAGCAATCAATTTTTGAACCTGTTCCAATTAATGCTAAGAGATTTTCCTCACGGAACAAAATAATTAAGAAACTAGTACATATCTTATGGTAGAGAAACACAACTGGAATTATCAGCTTACCTTTATGAGTCTATGCAACTCAAATACTTGCACGGCAAAGACTCTTTGTTGACTGAAATATAGTAAAAGAGTTGGGCAAATCACTAAATAATTCAGATAGATGAAAAGAGCACGTAAAGCGATGTATATTGGAATTGTCCAAAAGTTAGAAATTACACGAGCACTGAATGGACAGAAAATCAGCTCATACTATTAGGTAAATAATGACTGCATTAATAATTCTAGCAAAATGAATTGCACTGATGTAACAAGTCCTATTTTCCTTGGAAAATTAATTGACAGTTCATCTTTCACACAATTATGAACAACCAGAACCTATGGGGCTCAAATTTGAAGACAAAACACACTGCTAGGGTGAATCTGATAGAATTCCAACCTAAAACACAAACATACAGGGATATCCACACCCTAGTGGAAACTCAAAACAATCATGTGTTAAAATGCACAAAAGAAAGGAGCATGTCAATAACTATATAATAATGGATTGGAACATGACAAAAAGTTAAAAGTGCAGAAGTAACAAGCCAACCCAGTTCAACCACACTAGAAGCCTTAGAATATAGCTGACCAGTAGATTTCAAGAAGAATAATGCTGCATGACATGAACAATATGTAACAAATTTCATACAAAATGACACATGCAACAGATCGATGACCCAAAAATTGAACGAGCTTATCACCGATACCATTGTATCTTTTCATGTGAAACTTATGAAATCTTAAAATACAGGCATTTAACTGCTGGATATGTCGGAAGCAGAAAGCAGTATAAATTTAATCCCATTATGTGTCATAATCTAGGATGACTCAATTGCTTTCTTGAGAGGATATGAATCCCAAGAAATCTATCCTTACCATTCCATCACATATTTTGTTAGAAAGAAAATGAGACAGGATTTTAAGAGCAATGATTCTAGGAAAGCCAGGAATTGAATTCTACTTCATTTGCATGCTATTTAGAGAATCTAGTAATTCTAGTGTGTGTGTGTGTGTGTGTGTGTGTGTGTGTGTGTGTGTGTGTGTGTGTGTGTGTGTGTGTGTGTGTGTGTGTAATAGATAGTATTATTTAGGACTTATTTATGGTTTAAGACTTCATTCTATTTCTTATAGTGTTTTAGGATCTCATCATAAGGGCACCTACTATCATGTTTAATGATAGCTCAATAATTATTGAGAATTGAAACTAATGTTTTCTCCCTTTAGTACAAATCTTTGTCTTATTTCTCTTCATCTATTCCAATACCCTTTTCATCCCTCTTCTCCTCCTTGTTTCCTCTCTCCTATTCCTTCCGTACATGAGAAAATTGAAGACATTTTCTTATACTGTAATGTTTAAGCAACCAGTTCCAGCATCAGATGGTATCAGCAGCATGGCTTCAAATATGACTGTCAATCCCTCAATTTTCCCTCCTAATTCAATGTTAGCACTCAATAGAATATAATTGGAGTGACCAATTTCCCCCTCTCCAATTGCAAACAGAAGGCACAATTTGTATGTTTCATATATTTGGCAAGATACCGAATAATTACAAAAATGTGAGTTCATATCCAACAACCAACAACCGAGCCAGTATCCTAAGAAGAAAATTAATTTCTACGATATTGAAGAGAGGTCAGGTTCTAGTTAACCAAATTCAATCATATATAGAACAATATATAGGCAGATCACGATTGAGCTGAAACACCTTCTTATGGTAATCATCGAGTATTTTTTGGCAAGGAATGAGGTTTCAAGATCATATGCTAGCCTATTGAGCCCCATTACCTAACTGAAAAGAACCAACTCAATTGCACAGCTTAACAACCAACAACCGAGCCAGTATCCTAAGAAGAAAATTAATTTCTACGATATTCAAGAGAGGTCAGGTTCTAGTTAACCAAATTCAATCATATATAGAACAATATATAGGCAGATCACGATTGAGCTGAAACACCTTCTTATGGTAATCACCAAGTATTTTTTGGCAAGGAATGAGGTTTCAAGATCATATGCTAGCCTATTGAGCCCCATTACCTAACTGAAAAGAACCAACTCAATTGCACATAAGCTGTGAGATTTTGTGGATAAAACAGAAGTTTCTCTACCATGTGAACATTCACTAAAATATGCCAACTGATGATTGTAAACTCAGCATCCTTATCAGTGGCATCCACAACCTAAATTTTTCATAGCACATTCACAAGGTGTTTGGACTTTTTTCACCGGAACATGGGTTTACAAAGAATAAGCAACCAACTAGACATGGCAGCATTCCTTCTCATAAATTTGCATCATGAAAGGTCTTTCTACTCATTATCATTATCAAAGAATGCAATTAAGAGAAGCATCTGACAAGATAGGTAGCAAGTCATTAGAAAACTACAGGCAAGAAAGCAGATAAGCACACCCGAACACCAAAAAGGGATAACAATATTTATATTTTCACAAAAATCCAAAAAAAAAATCCTTGATTCAGATGTAATTGAAACTCGTAGGTTCCTTTTCTCAGAATTGTAAATGCAATCAGTCTGAATCGTAGAAGAAATAACTTTTTTCTGCCATGGATCATAGAGGTAACACTTATGCTTTTCTTTCTTAAACATATCAACAAAATAGTTGGATGTTGAAAAGCTTTTTCATAAGAAATTCTTCCATAATATTAATAAAAATCTACCATGTTAACATACTTGCAAAATGAGTCAGGACCCAAACATGAAAAGGATTTTCAGATGTTCAAAACTCAGAAGGTAACTTCTGTGCGTGGAGCCAATTTTTTATCAGAAGAAGATAAGTATAAATCCACTTCAAAGAGTTGCTAAAACCAAAACTGGCACAGTTCTACATATTAGTGAAAGAAGGAATGCAGCAGAATACTCCATCATGGCTCAAGAGGAAGTCAATCTTCCATAAAAGTAAGCCTTTAGTCTACTGACATTTTTATCCTGACGGCAGTATACTTTAGACATCTTAGTGAATATTCATCTAAACCAAAAACCAAGGTGTGGCACATGTGATTTCATCTATTTCTACTAGCTGCTTCTACTTCATTGCTCAAAACCACAAGTTTAATTTGTATTGCTTATATGTGTGATGGAAGCGAGAAGGTCACCAATCTAACCCAATTTACCTATTCAAATTTAAAAATAAATAGATGGTGAGGCGATGAACCAGTCATTGGGGAGGGGAGGGGGAGAGAGAGAGAGTTTAACTGTACTTAAGTCCACAGCAGGAAACAAATGGTATCGCCAAAAAAATAATCTGAAGAAAATCTGTAAACCTTGTGAAAGTATATATAGAGCACTCCAAACTCAAAGAGCAATGGACACTGTTGGTGGACTGACAATAAAATTGAACTCCTTTCATTTAGGTCCTTTAAGTTCCTTGAGCATCATGCTATTCATACTGAACCAACAGCTACAACATTACCATGATGAATTATTCTAGTTGGAGCCATATGCAGACCAACTAATTAGTGCAACTGAAGAGCATAACTACAAAAACACCATTTTAACTCAGGTATGGATACAACAAAATACCTTTTGTTCTCCAAATTACAACATATTGCTGATTAGCTGCAGCATATGTAAATAAAAACCATTTGACGGGAATACTTACTTGACGATGGCTCTTCTTGCTTTCCAGAATTGTTTCTCACCTATTACTCCTACAACATCATCAGGAGTAATCTCCAGAGCAGTTACGGAGTCCACCATGGAAGTTTCTGCATCATCATCATTCCTTTCAAGATCTCCTGCTTTCAACGACCCAGATTGCTTGTCTTCACGGTACTTGCTTCTTTTCTCAAGCCCACAACGATTTCTGTTATCATCTTGAAGCAACGCCCTTGAATATAATTCACTTCTCACCTTGGAGGGATTTTCCTTGCCTGTGACAACTCGGTATTCCACCAAAATATTATCCCCGATGACAGTCTTGTCTGGCACTGTGGCAAGCTCTTGATTCAACTGTTCATTTGTACCAGGTAAGCATTTGAGGACATTCACTGAATTCTTTCTACACTCTTGATTTGAAGATGAATATGTTCGCTTTAATGATTTGGTACTTCTAATTTTTCCTGATGGGCTTGATACTGAAGGTTTATCTTTAATTGATGAGACTGTAGCAAATTTTTCCATGGAATTCTGGCAAGCCTCAAATACTTTTCCATTGTCTTCTATTTGTATTCTCATATGGTCTATTTCCTTTACATTTATGGTGCCAGTTTTTTTCTTCTGGGTTTCAGTAGTATTTTGAAATTGCACAGAGAAGCTCAAGTTCAAACAATGCTGATTTTCTTGATCTTTACTGTGCTGACTGTTGTTACAATAAAGATTTGATCCTGACTGGGCAGAGCTATGAAATCTAGAGTCATTTTCATCTCCAAGCTTCTTCCATGAAAAGTTCTTAAAGTCGGAGACCTTGTGTGATTGAAATGAATTGCAAGTAGCACTGAATGACAATGGCCGAGAGGTATTCAAGTTTTGATCATTTGTAACTTCCACAAATTTTTCCTGACTTGTCATCAGAGCGCTTGACTTAACTCCTCCAGAGGAATAATAAAAAAGCTTCTCAGTCAAATGCAAAGGTGTTGGGGAGTTACTAACTGGAGTAAAAACACTCCTTTCATGGCCAGTCCCCTACAAAGATAACTCATTTGTAATCCAACAACACAAGTCGCAGAGAAGTACGGAAATTCATGATACACAACCATATAGCCATTGCAATGAAAACAAAACCAACCCAAAGCATTATAAATAAAAATAAAAAGTAACCAGACAAGAATACATTTTGAAAACAGAAATAAATATCCCAAAGCCAAAATTATGAAAAGGCCGAAATAATCAAAACGGCTTCCTTTATTCTATAAGCCAAATGAAAATGTTCACAAAAGTAGATGAACTAAACAATCAAAACGGCATCCTAAGATCACATTTAAGTCTACAAAACCGGTTCCTCGGCGTGGGGGCAACAGATAGCTACACTACCACATGAACCAACACCATGCTCTGAGGCGAAAGCAGCATGTAATTCATATTAATCAGAATCTAAGGATGTTAATTGCGTAGATGCTTACCAAAGACATGAAGCAAGGGTGTATCATTGTCAAACTTACTGACCAAAATAAGATAAATTCAGACGGGGAAAGAGAAAGAAAAGTTATCAAACTCACATAGCTTGAGGAGATTGAAGGGGCCAAGCTGCTGTCGTTTTTAGGAAGAACAGGCAGCATGGACCCTGACCCAGAGCTAAACCTTTGAGAAGGAATACAGAGCTGTTCATACAGGGCCATCTTATTCCTTGGAGGTGCCCTCGGCCCTCCTTTCTCTGCATCATTCACGTGAAGTCTTGGAAACATAGGACTCATCATCTTTTCCTCATCCTTTGCCCCTCTCATTTTCCACTTTCTTTTGCTCTACACGAATATACTTATTCTTTCAGCAATATCCAAACACCATCCTTTTTAAGCAAGATTCACTATTAAAAAAAATGCCTATCTAGATAGCAAATTAAAACAGTGGGTCACCCAGAATCAAATATTTTTTCTTTTTTTAATTAAAAAGCAATGCCTTTTGAATTTGCTCTATTGTACAAGTACCCAAATATCAACGTAGTTCCAGAAAGCAAGCTTGGAGGATAAATTCAACCATGAATAAAAAAACGAGAGAGCAGGCTAGGCCATATGACAAAAGGCTGCTACTCTACGAAGAATTTACAATTTTTTTCGAGTGACTCTCATGAAAAGCAAATCTTCAGATTGAAAACCAAAAACAAACAACAGGAGAACATGAAAAGAATATTGTCGAAAACACAAATTTTACAAGTACCCAAAAGCAGCTGACCTCAAAAAAATCAAAACTTTCTAGAGTGCAAATGGACAGCCCAGAAGATATTTAGCTCAACTTTAAACCAAACGGGGAGCAGAAAATCAGGTGGCCACAAGAAAAAAACACGACACGATACTGACAACAGCATACAATAATGGAGAACTCATAGTTAAAAACAAACGGGTAATGGTCAGTTCCTACTATCTGGGTAAAGGGAGGAAAAAAAGGGAGAAAGAATCAAGGGATGATTTTATGTTGCGGGAAAAGATAGATTTGGCTAGAGAAGAGGGCTGCCTTGAAATTCCACAATACAGGATCTCTTCTCCTCTCCTCGCCCCTAAAAGCAACGCTCAGCCTTTAAAGAAAAGAAGTTGTGGACTCGGTGGGTCCCAGGTGGATAGAACTCAATCCTTTACTTGAATCCTCTCTTGTCCAGTTTTTTCCGGTACCCGCAAGTTGGATCCTGCCACTTCAGACAGACCCCACAATGCCACTTGGACCATTATTGTACTCGACATGAATATTTGATTGGGCAAACGTTGATATTACAGTGTTTTTTTCGAATTCATCTCTCGAAAGATTGCATATATATTTATTTAATGACAATATCACACACAGAATTGAAGGCTTCTTGGAAGTGGTCAAGGAGAAGTTGAAAAATACAAGTACCAAACTGTACGGTTTTATTTTCTTTGTACAAAGTAGACAAGAAAAGTGCCTGAAAATGAGAAGGATGATTAGTAAGACTAGTTCGCTACGACACGTGCGTAATTGGCGACCTTAACTGAGTTTTAAAACCACATGGTCTTTCGTTTTGCCCTCAAGATTTGGACAATCCTTTTTACTAAAAACCCGTTGCGAATCAATCCCCCTCAAGGGTTGGTTTTTTCTTGGTCGTGTATGGCTCCTTTCCAACCATGCACAAGGAGCTTTCCTCTTATGGTGGGTTAGGGTTACCTTTTGGTTTTGGTTTGCAAGATGGTTATTTGTTCATCATGTTAATATTATATCATGTTAAAAACTAATATAAAATTATTATTAAAATTTTATATAATAAAATAAATTTTTGAATTGATATGATTTTTTTAATATAAATTATAAATAATTTTTTTTATTCATCGGTTAGCGCAATTACTCACGGCTAACTACCATCCATTAATCTCTTTTAATCTTTATTACTTTTTTTTGTTCATTTTTTTCTTTTTCTCTTTTTTTTTTTGTCATTTTCTCCTATCATTATCAGCCCATATTTGTTCCGATGAATTAAATTCTAATCCTATAATTTACTAGCCTTGTATTTTTGTTGCTCTTGGAATCATAATTTGAAGACCATTTATTATGTCTTTTCTAGCATCTCTTGTTTATGAAGTAATAGTTTCATGTTATGTTTTTCAAGCTACATGCTCGAGTAAAATTTCACTTGGATTTTTCTATGGCCCACAAAAAGTTATATATTATCCCATAAAATTTTTTTTCTATAATTGTTATTGGCTTTAATAGCCTTGGCCTATTAAGTTATTTTTTAAAATGTTCATCAACATATCAGTATTATATTTATATATAGTTGTTAAACTTATGAAGATTTTTATACAATCTTTAAGTTTGAGAGGGTATGTTAAGAAAATAGATTAAAATAATATATTTTCTATTAAAATCCAATCAATTTAATCATTAGTTAGGAAGAAAATCAAGTACTTCACCGAATAATAAATCAAGGATTTTAAATAATTAAATATTATAATTTATTTTTATAATTTTTAGTTATCTTCCTATATACACTTGGTAATTAGTTGATTGTGATGACATATCATAATAATAAAGTTTCTTATAATAATATTTTTTTTATTTTTAACATGGTATTAAAATTTTATTAACTAAACTGTCACAAGTTTGAATCTGGTTACTCTTATTTTAGTTGATAAAATTAAGCACAAGGTAATATGAGTTAATACAAGTTACAAACTTAAATGACTTTCATTTAAAGGGATGTGTTAAAGAATAATATAAATCAAATCTTAAGCCCTCACCTAAGAACTTAAGTGTATGATATCATAATGCAATGTGTTTTTTAAAAATGTTTTTCGCTTAAAAATATATTAAAATAATTTGTTTATGTGTTTTTTATTTCTTAGATCAGTATATCCAAACTATCAAAAATTACTAAAGAAAAAAACATCAATTTGATAATTTTTTCATGTCACATGCACATTTAAAATGCAAGTAGAAACATAATGTCTAACAACCTAACTTTTAGGTTGAAAAGTTCTTTGACATTCTATCACAATTTTGATAACAAAACATCTATGAGTTTGAATTTCACTATTTTCATTCTAAATAATAAAACTAAGTACAAAGTAGTGTGAGTTTGTGCAAGTTTCAAGTTTAAAAACTTTTTACTTGAGAGAATATGTTAAAGAATAATATAACACTATTCTTTAAATATCATTAAATAACTTTAAATTTTAAATTAAAATAATTATTTGATATAACAAGTGCTCGTGGAATATAATATGTTACTACTGCTAAACATTTAAAAAAAAACAATTAATTTGGGCGGCCCACATTGCTAGAGCTACCTAAATGGGATTGTCATTGGTTTGTATTGTTTTAATATGCAAAATTAAAGAAAACAAGAAAATGGAAAGTAATTAGATTGGGCAAGGTCACCTTAACTAAAGCATGTTTTATAATAACAAGTTTATACCATAAGATACCTTTAATATATGGTAAATATTTATCTTAAATGCAAGCCTATCACATAAATAAAAAGATTGATTAATGAGTTTAAGTACTGAAATTGAAAGGACAAAATGAATCAAACTTTGAAAAGAGATGCTGGTTCAACCCAAACTGTAACATTGTTCAGTCATTAGTCATAGTTGAAGCTGTAGATCTTGGATTTAGGTCTAATCTATATGGATAGAAAGCTAAGACATAGGCCTAAAACATTCATGAGAAGACAAGACTCAATTCTGCTAAATGAAAGTCCAAATCTTAGCAATAATAGAGAAGTTTGAATATATCCAACAACTTAGATGTTATTTAGTGTTTAGCCCATATCTCAAGTTCTAGAAGTCTAAATGATCTCAAATTTTTTTCCTGAAAATCTGAGACAATTTCCTAGAACTTTAATTATTTAAGTTTGTTCTCATTTTGATGTTAGCAATGACGTTTTTGACAGACAAGAAGATAAGGATTGTCAGTAAGTCAAGATGTGGCCACCTACTCAACAATTAGTCATCAAATCAATAGTTTCTAATTTTAGCCTATAAAAGGGGGTATTTGTCATGCATTTAAGCATCTTGATTTTCATATTAAGATTGTATTCTTGCTCTCTTTTTATTGTAATGCTTAAGTTTTGCTTATATTAATATATTGTTTATACTTCTCATTTCATTTCATTTATTTAGTTAACTTATATCCTATTTACGTTCTTATCTTGTTTATTTATGTTTCTCTTTTTCATTATATTTAGCTAAGTTTATCACGTCAAGGTGAAAAGGTTACACTAATGGTGTAAGAATAAGTATAGTATAAACTCAACATGGACTTTAATGTTTGATATTAACATGATTTGTATTTGTTATCTTATTCACTCTTAATATTTTACTTGTTAAATGGTTAATCTAAATTTGTGTTATATAACCTTGGTACAATAAATATTTGGCACTTTCATAACCGACACATAGCTATGGAAGGAACTTGATTTGTTGTTAATATAAGTTATAATCATGAATACCTGACAACAGTTACAAGTATTAGCATTATTCGAATAAGATAACTAATATAATTATGTTAATAATTTACAATCCTATTGGAACCTTCTTTGTATATGGTTTCCAATTGAGTAATAAGAGTTTATACCATTAGTGAATCCTCTAACTTTGATAAAAAAAAGTTTATCATTTTTTAATCCTTATATCAATATCACATCTCAAAGCTCTCTTTATTATGTTGTTGTTGTTGTATTATTGTGATTTATAATTTATATAGTTAACCTCCATGTGGTTCGATCTCGATCTTGCTAGGTTATTTATTACTTCGACACTCTTGCACTTGGGAGAAGACATCAATTTTTTAGTCGTGTCAAGTTTTTGGTATAGTTGCTA